AAAAAAACAGAAAGTACAATGTAAAATGCAAAGTTCGATTTTTGGCCCCGAATGTACGCCATAGACCACCTGTGGGTATCAAGCTATTGGACACCTCCAAACACGACCCCTTGTTGTAGCTACACAGAGGTCATTTTAAACAGTCGCTTCAATAGTTGTTCTCTAGCTTATAGCTTTTTGTCTAAATTTCATTCATGGATATGATTCGAAAAAGCTATGCCGCAGCAGTTGCTGGGTATTCTTCGGACGAGGAGTCGCAAAAGGGCGAAAATAAATAAGAATAAAGAATAAAAGTGAAAATACTGACTTGATGTTTACTTAAACGGCAAACGCCCAMTTAGACGTCGAGAAAACATAACGCTTTAAGTCAAAATATTAGCAATTCATGTTAGTAAATAATACTAGTCGTTGCAATATGTAAGTGGAATCTTAGTGCTGCGAGTGCCATACAATGATGTAATGTTAATAAGATATAAGTTACATGTAACAAAATATCCAAAACCGTCTAGATATAAGTAACAAGGACGAACATAAACCAGGGAGTTTTCTTGTATTCATTATTATTATTGTTTTATACTATATTTATATTTTCATGGTTATTCATCATATGAATTATTGATTTATATATTTTACCTGTTACCCGTTACCCGTTACCCGTTACCCGTTACCCGTTACCTGTTACCTGTTACCTGTTACCCGTTACCCGTTACCCGTTACCCGTTACCCGTTACCTGTTACCCGTTACCCGTTACCTGTTACCCGTTACCCGTTACCCGTTACCTGTTACCTGTTACCCGTTACCTGTTACCTGTTACCCGTTACCCGTTACCCGCATTTTAGACACGCCGCTATTGTTGTCTATTATAGACCTCTTTACGTTCGTTGTTTGTTATCCCATTTCATACCTTGTGATGCCACTCTTGAGAGTTGATTCTTTCATATGCAAATATTTTCAAATTTTACTTTGCGTTGGAACTTATTGAAATGTTTTGATTATTACTCACTTGAGCTAGTGGTTGACTTCCTTGATCCAATGGTGCTTCTGGCTGATGGCCCTAATATTAATGTTAAAATGTTAGTAAACATCGAATAAATATATATTTTAGCAAAGGTCATGGTTCAAACAAAAATTAAAAATCAAGTAAATTCGAGAGAATAAATCATATTCTTCTTGGAACTGGCCCAACATAAATAGAAACTTCCAGTTATCTCGTTAATAATTTATTATATTATTTGTTTTTACCGCAATTTTCATTCAGAAATGTTTTTTTTTTATGACGAATACTTTAAGCTTGGTTTTCACTAGCGACGGAAGCAGAAGCAGAAGCGTAAGACACTTTATGTTCCTGTGAAAATCAAAAAACGRAGACGTAAGCAGAAGCAGAACATCGACGGAAGCAAACGTAGAAGGAACGGAAGGTTTCCTTTTTCTTATGCTTATGCTTCTGCTTCCGTCGCTTATGTCGCTAGTGAAAACCAGATTCTTATCCTTCCGTCGCTAACATGCAGAAGCACAAGGTGGTAAGCCAATCAAATTCTCGTACTCAGTCCCCTGCACGGGAAACGTCCTATTGTTTCTCTTATGCTTCCGTCACATTCATTTACACTAGAATATAACGATCTTATGCTTATGCTCATGCTTATGCCTCTGCTTCCGTCGCTTATGTCGCTAGTGAAAACCAGATTCTTATCCTTCCGTCGCTAACATGCAGAAGCACAAGGTAGTAAGCCAATCAAATTCTCGTACTCAGTCCCCGGCACGGGAAACTTCCTATTTTTTCTCTTATGCTTCCGTCACATTCATTTACACTAGAACATAACGATCTTAAGCTTATGCCCATGCTTATGCTTCTGCTTCCGTCGCTTATGTCGCTAGTGAAAACCAGCCTTTAATGTTTAAAAGATCATAAGTACGTAAACTCAGCGAACCATTCATTTTTCTGTCTGTACCATAACTTATGGACCGCAAATTGATCAATCATAGCGCATGGAAATACCTTGCCATATAATAATACCTCTTGTTATAAAGCAAACACTCTCAATGGTTGAAAGATGACTACGCGACACTAGTTAAATCCAAATTTATCCCGACCAGGAAAAAAGTTGCATGTGTCAGTAGTCGTGAAAATAAACAAGTGCACGTGATCGCGAACGTGAAAAACGCTGATGGCGTCATATTTTGCACCAATCACATACAAAAAAGCGGGAACAAATATTTTGAATTATACAAATGGAGATAAAAAACAAACAAAACAAAACAACAGTTTTTCAGGGGTTTATTTTCAGCCTACAGAGAAATTATAGACTTTCATTGAAAAAAAGGATTCGGAAAATACGAAAAAAGCGACTAAGAGAAACGGTTGAGCACTACTCTCCTCGCTTTTTGGTAGAGAAATACAAAACCGTATGTGAGTCGTATTTGTACTGAATCATCAGTTTTCATGCATTTAGCTCGCTAAATTAAGTTCTAGCTTATTTTCTAAACTGAACTCTCAATATTTTTTAGTTGCTATTAAACAAAACACTTTTAAAATGTCTGGTTGCGAGGGAAATGGTTTTGTTTTCCCGAGTCTATAAGTGTATATTATATTAGCTACTATCCTGCAGTTGTTAGTTTTACATGCAAACTTACCTCTTTTCGATGAGGGTTTTACAGACAATTTTACTTCATACATCTTACGCTTTAAATCGGTATCTTGACGAATACAGGCCGCATAAACACCTTGGTCGGCCACAGAAACATTTATTAAGCGAAACCAAGCATGACCAAGTGAAATATTTCCGATAAAGTGGGCTCGATTTTTGTATTGCCTGTCTGATGCAGTATCTAGGTCTTTTCCATGTGTAACTATTTGTGTGGTGACAATAATCAGTTTCATCGTGTGGTCGCATTCAAGAGAAGTTTTTTTGCCAAAATTGGCAGTGCGGATTGAGTTCCTATCTTTGGTTGTAAACTTGAAGTCCACCTCTTCACCTTCATTTCTTTTAAGCTCTTTTGGCTGTAAAATCTCCCCAGCTGTTGATGTGAATGGAAGCGTATTAGAAGTAGTTAAGCGTATTATAAGTAGTTAAGCTCGAGAATGAAAAATATCAAGTTCCAAATTTTGGTGCAAATAGAAAAGTGGTTTGAGCTTTAAGTTTATGTTCCAAATTACCGAGCAGAAAATAAAACATAAATTAAAAGTTGAAAAACTTACATATCGTCAAAATAAATTGCAAGATCCAAACGAGCTCGAACGACATATTTCGACAAAGGACGAAAATATACGTTTAAATTAGGAAGTTCATTATTGTTGAAATCAGGGAAATGGAACTGGCTAATAAAGAAATTTATAAATTATTATATAGTAATATAGTAACAATGAAGACAGCAAGATTAACTGTGACTTATGCTTAAAAAATGAGCTTACGTAGCGTTTCTAATTAGAGCTAGTATAAATTAACCAATGATATGAGGTCGCTGAACCGCTACACTTTACTTCTAGAATCTGACATGATGGTGCAATATCTGGTACTTCCATGATGGTGCAATAACTACGTATATACGTATTGACATAAACACATATACTTTAATTAGAAACACAGACAAACTGTGAATATATCGAATATAAAAACGATTCAACATATCTTAGATGCCCAATAACCATGAACGCTAAACTAGGTAAATAGCTAAATTAATATCAATCTCAGAATGATCAACAGATCAATAACACACAAAAGGTCATTATAAACGTACTGAAAAAAACAACTAAACGAGATACAATGAAAATATACAAAAATAAGAAGTTAGTATAATTATTTAACAGATATGTCAAAACGAAAAGAAAATAAAGAAAACAGTATACAATGATCATGGATAATGAGAAAATAGGTGGTGCAACTAAGTGATATGAAATTTGAATTATGTGTTTAAGATTCAAGTCAATTATTGATTAGCTTTTCATTAATTCTATCTTTCTTCAGATTTTCTAAAGATTAATCAATTTCATTCTATATTTTAGCGCCCGAAAATTTGACGTTGAATCAGTCCCACAAAGTGTTCTAATTGTGGGTTAAGTATACACCAGTACACTTAGACTTAGGCCATTCTGTAAGAATGACATTGATTAACTAAATGAAAGAAGTATTCAAAAGATTTGATTAGTTTATTTTATACAAGTCATGCATAAATAGAGCAGTATGAGACCGTATAAGATCACCAAGTTTCAGTATTTTCAATTTGATAAAGATAGGATTCGTTCTTGGGTCGTAATTTGAGAAAGTACAGTCATTAGACGCAAGAATTTGGCAGGTACAAGGTTGACTCTGATTTATACCAGCAACCTTTGCATTATTGATCCCTGCTAGTATTATTTCTGATTAGAATAGGTTGCTATCAATAGACGTCACTTCCGGTAATAGCTCTTTTTTGATGGCTTGTAGAATCCTGGAGGTAGTTTTGATCTTTTATTTTCTGGTTTGATGTCGTGAAAATAGTCAAATACAATAGTTTGAGGACTTATTTTGAAATGTTTTGACTTAGCATCCGCTAGTTGCCCCCCAGCAAACCGCTTGTTTGCCCCCCTCCCCCAGTCAACTCCAACAAGTCACGTGATTGATAGTAAGCAATAAGCATAATATTCTACAGCATTGAAAGTCGCTGATAGTTAATTTTCATTTGACTTGATCTTATCAATGTCAAAAATTACCGAACAACGTACTTTCCAATAGCACTATGATAAAAATAATATTAATTGTATATTCAAAATAATTGATTTCGAGGTAAGTGATCCTAACTCCATCATGGTTTGACTTTTAAAAAGAGGAATTTCCATATGACAGGTGTCATTGAGAGTAGTGTAGCAGCATCTTGTACGATCTACTGTGATTGGTGAGATAAAACAAAAGAATACATTGTTTTCCCCTTCTATTGTATTATTTTCTTTTGTTTTACAGCAAGGGTATCAATCCAATAGGCTTAGATCTTATGAGCACTGCTACACCACCCGTCACTGAATAAAAAAGTTTCAAAACAATACCGGAGTTACGCAGGATAATTGTAAAAACTCGGAAAATAAGCATTTGTTACTTAAAGTACCGGACAATGAGCACATAAGAAAACACAAGGCTTCCTTCCCTTGAAAACTGAAATATTTTATCCAAGTATATTCAAAGTGTGAATTTTCAAAATGTGTCAGATTAGTTTTGACCTCCCATAGTTTCACTTACAATCATTCCGTATAAGTGAAAGCGAAGACGCCAAACATAATTATTGGGAATGCGATGGCCAGCCAATAAAAAAGCGAGAATCTAGTCTGTACAACAAACATTTGCATATTCAGTCTTCATTGAACACGGCCTGCAAAAATATTTTGTACCAGTATTTTATAGTGAACCGGATTTTTACTCTGCTTTAGTCACTTTTCCTACCATTGAACTATCACCATCGAGTTTAATTCTGTACATATCGAAGACTGGCTTTTCCAGCGACTGTTTCTAGATGTTATATTCACTTTGCTCGTGGTATAGTAGACGTATTTCAGAAGTCGGATCATCAATGCCAGTACGATAAACACTAAAAACGACATTCAAAGGTAATCTCAATTAAGCCTAAATACTCATAATAGTAACCATTATTACTAGAACGAAAGATATCCTTGTAGTAAGATAGAGTTAGATCAGACCCATTGGTTACTAAAGCGTCTTTGCTTAATTCAGGGTCACATACGTGCTTTGGAAATGAAACGAATAAATTCATAAGAACTCTAAATATATACTTACCGTGGCCACTTTACCGTTACCAGTATTCTGATATCTCTCATTTGACTTTCTGATGGTTTCTTGAGCTTTTGAAGTCTTTATAGTTAACCATTAAGGCCGCATGTACCGCAAAAGCATTAGACTTCCATTAGTTGCAACGCAACATGATTGAGTAATTGTTTTGTTTTATTCGATGACCTCTCCTTGTCTGCGGTCAAATCATGAATAAAAGCCTATGTATACAGCAAGTAAAACATCATTCAGCAAGTATAGCAAGCCCGGGGAGAGGAACTCTGTGGTAAATGTATTTGGGATGCTCGTCGGAGATTCCCGATGTCTTCTTAATGGGCGTGGCTTTATTGAACTCTTGAACCTTAAAAGATACCATATATAAATTTCTAATGGCTTAGTCGGCGTTAATATATATCAACTATAGTTTTCTGTTTCGTCACCTTAAAAAATAACAAAGTAATACTGGGGTTCTAAAGCTCAATTTCAATACACTGGAATATATCTAGTTTAATCCCTAATAACTACAAGTACTGGATTACGACGAATATCTATTGGTCTCTGCTCTCTGTGACAGTCAAGAAAGTAAAGATATTTTCACAATTAATACTGCTGTACAGCACTGAATAATGCGTGCGACGTCCAAAAACTGTTATTTCTCATTCCTGGTATCACTTTGGTTTTGTTTGATCCTTTTTTTTTTTTTTTTGCTTCGTCTTATATCTTTAGACTAGTTAGACGTTTCTCAAGAGCTTGTGTTAAGATGACTTGGCAAAGGAGTTTCTTATTTCGTATGATCGTGTTTCTGACCTTTTTTCATCCGGATTGTTTTAATAATTCCAAGTTCGAAGATCCAGGTAAGTTATATACACAGTCACATACAAAAAAATTTACTCTTGACAGATATTAAAGTGGGGGTTCAAAGTGGGGGTTCACATTTAATAATTGTTTAAAAAGAAATATTGACTCACCTGGTTTTTGGGTTGTAACGGGTGTGGTCTGTAAAGGAGGTATGGTAGGGACATGTGTTTCGGATAAATAAAAAAATACCGTTGGTCCTCACTCATTACAAAATTTTGTGATATACACTTATTTCAATAAAATTAGTCACCTGAAAAGCTATACAAAGCTGAGGACGACCAGGATTATGGACAGATACATTTTACATGTTTCAACCGCTTGATACTGTTGATGGACTTGCACATCTTTTACAAGTTACAGTCTCACCTCTGAACATCCTGCAAGCTGCAGTTTGTATCAAAAAAAGCTTTACTTGTTTGATCGAAATGAATTGCTTTCCATGATCCTCAGTGATCTCAGCTATCTAGGTTTTTGGTGACTAACTTTATTGAAATAAGTATATATAAATATGTTAAATATAAATATGATGATGGTATAAAAAATGATGAGAAGCTTTCTTTGTACACATGAAAAAGTATATCAAAAATAAATCTGATTATAAGGTATACACCGAATCGACTGACTAGCCTATTATGCACGTCAGTCTAGAACAATAGTTATTCAAATTGGTCGCCATATTGGGATTAGGTGTAAAATTCCTGATTTCAGAAACACAGTAATGAATGTACATCTGTAATAATTAATACCGTATTTACTCGTTTTAGCGCCGCAGCGCTTATTAAATTTTTGGGGTTTCATATGCGGCATTAACGTTAATTTGAGGGCGGCGCTTATTAAAAAAAAAAAACTGAATTGTTTACCATATATATAATGAGTATCTAGTGATTTAATGCAAAGTTAATGCAGACGTACAAAATATACGAAATATAAATCTTTTAATGCATAAAAGCGGCGCTTATTAGGGGCGGAGTTTATTCGAGGGCGCAATTATTAATATCTTTGGCCTTAGGTGCGGCTTTTATTTGCTTGCAGCGTTTAATCGGGTGTGGCATTTAAACGAGTAAATACGGTACTGATTTTTTTTTTAATTAACAAGCATTTGTTTATTAGGTCCTGCACAAAAGGAAAATGTAAAATGCATAACAAACCAAATTGAAGACGATTTGATGATTCAATCATTGACAGGTATGTGGCCTTGCTATCTTCCTTCTACAAAAAAAGATACATTTTTTAAAACCTCTCTCACTATATATATGTTAAGAACTGAAGTTAAAATATAGTTTTGCATTAATTCTTTCGAACTAATATATTCTTACTTACTTATCATGCAGCTCAATCGATTATATTAATCTAAAATTAACCTTCCACAGTGAAGGTCAATGATGCCATATCATCCAAGTCAAGTTTTTGCCATTACTATTTCTGCTGAAAATTTGTTATGCATAGAGCTAAAAAGAAGTAAGCCACATGCGACAGGACGTATATTCCAATTTTTTGTAACTCGCTTTTTCCAATCTACAGATTTTTCCGAGCCAGATAAAAGGCAGAAAAACCCAGTAATAGAGAGGAGAGTACCAGAAGGTACAGACTTTATGTATGAATGTCGTAACTTGAAGAAAGAAGCAATATTGAAATGGGGATTGTATAAGCGAGGAGTGTCTTCCCCTTCTCGTCTCTTTTCAAGAGTGGAAGTAGCTAAGGCGAAATCCTTTTGCTCGGTGTATTGGGCATCTGAATTCAAAGCTTCAAGGTATTCTGGACGAATACATGTTGAATACAACACAACGTCACAGTGCGTCATATGGATTCTATCAAGCGTAACCAGGGAAGATGAGAATATTTTCGTTGCTGCAGTTCGTGATAATTTTGCACAAGGCCAAGGCTTTAGGGAGTGCACTCCCGTATCCTTAAATGTATTTAAAGGTTTGTATGCATTCGTTGTTTTATCCATTTGGTTTTTAGTTTCCTTTGAGCATGATGCCATTCTTTTCAGATACTTTGAAGGATTTATTATTCCTTCTAGAAGCATTACACTTTAGCAAACATGCAAAGTAACGCTTCATTTGGCTCGAAACTTTTAACTAACAATTTGGTATTTTTGTTATTTAGCTAATACACCTGTCCCTACTACACCAGCTTTACAGACCACACCCGTTACAACCCAAAAACCAGGTGAGTCAGTGTTTAACCAGTTTCTGATTACCTTTTCAGTTACTTTCAAATATCTAATATTTCGTATATAGAAATTACACTTTAGTAAACAAACAAAGWAACGCATCATTTGGCTTGAAC